TCACTCTACTGTTGTAGAGAAGCAATATTTGTTTGCTGTATTTGAAAATCTTATTTTTTAAAAGACTGGACATAGCCTAGCCTCTGTGTAAGAAGCTTTGTGCTTCCAAAGGTGAACTCTTCAAACAGAGAACTCTCCTCCGGCAGCCCTTTGAGTAGAGGATTGTCCCCAGTAAAGTAGGGCACACGGCCACCCTTCTCCCAGCTGGTGTTTTCATATAAACATTTTGCAAAACTCATTATACTCATATCACTCCCAGAATGACTTTAACTTTCTCCATTAAAGCAAATGGCACAAATCTGGGCTGGGGAGGGAGAAATGCAATTATCAGCTTGGCTGGGAAGGAGCTTTTCAGGGCTGGGCTGGTGGTGGGCTATGCCTATGCTTCTTTCTCCCAAGCTAAAAAGATGAATTTTACTTTTGTGGCTTGGTCTATTCAGAGAACAAAGCATCAAAGTGCTGCAGCGGAGATGGATGTTTCATTGTCGGAAAGAAAGTTCCTTGTGGTGCCTGAGGCCTGCTTTCCTCTATCTTTTTTTCCCTGGAAGTAATTGTGTGCTTTTGTGTGTGTGGTTCTCCTCCAAATCTGTTTTCGATCTTTCCCCACCCTGGACTGCTGGAGCATGCAAATATTTAGCAGGTAATAAATGACTGCATTGTCTGAGGTTGGCAACAAAAGCTGAGAAGAGCGAGATCACCAGAGAGGATAGCTTTGTGTGGGATTCCCTGCAAATCAAGGCCAGCATTGCCAGGCAACGGGTTGAAAGATGAGGAGAGACCTGGGGACCTGGGAGGAAAATCATTTGGTGGGGAGGATTTTTCCCCAGCTCTTTTGCACACAATTGTTAAGAACGCAGGAAGCTGCCTTATGCGGAGTCAGATTATTTGTCCACACTGAGTGGCAGCACTTTTCTGGGATTTCAGACAAGTGTCCCTACTGGGTCTACCTGGAGGGGCTGGGATTGAGCCTGGGACCTTCTGCATGCAAAACTGATCATAGAATCCTAGAACCGTAGAGGTGGAAGGGACCCCAAAGGTCATCTATTACTGTAGCACCCTGCTTGTGGTTAACGCTTAGCTGGAATGAAATATTCAACGCAGCAATAGAGAAATTAAAATAATAATTTATTTGTCAGACAAATAAATGAGAGACACAGTGGTATATGGTTACCAAAGCTCTGCCCCTCCAGCCCTGATGGCCAGCACTTATATTTCCTCAGCCCAGCCCCCTTGCTCCTCCTTTGGCTGCCTCTGTCCAATCAGCCTGGTTGAAATTCCTATTGGCTGTTTGCTAGAACCAATCATAAAAGATACACCCATTTTCTATTACCTTTTATGGGAGACAAAGAGCTATATTTCCTTCTATCCATAAATGGCAGACAAGTAGCCATATATCTTACATTTGCCTCGACCAGGCACCTTAATTACCAGATCACCTTTTGCCCTATTGCCCTATTACCCTATTGCCCTATTCACTCCAAAACAGATGGCTAATGGTTTTAATTTCTATCTTAAACAGAGATCTTGGGTTCACCTTCTCACACACCATCAATGAAATAAGAATCTAACATAAGAATCTAACATTTCTTACTTTCTAGATCCTTTGCATAATTACATTTAGCCAATAAATTTCATACATTAACACATACAGGTTTTTAGAAGGAAAGGAACTTAGTAAAAAACAGTTTCCAAAAGCAACCCCTTTCAAGCCAGCTGCTGTTCCCATTAGCTCTTGCCCTTTAACCTTATGAAAATATGGCTCAAGTCTAATGGTAGGCACCTAGTATTATTTTCTGTTAAACAATAAATCTCACTATTTACCAACTCTTAATTGTGTTTTTGCAGCTTGATTGTATTCTGTAATTTGTATGGTCAATATGACCTTTTGCTCCCAGCCTGTAATTTCCATTTACAACCCTGAGGCACTGCTATAGATCAGAGGGGCCCTGTTTAGGAAGATAAACATCTGCCAAAGTACTTAGCCAGCTGGTTTATGCCTGGCATAAAACATACAAACATTTGCAAATATATTTTTTAAGCTCATTTTAAAATGCAGGCCTTGATCTGATGCCTCATTCCCCCCTTTCAAGCTCAAGGACCTTCATCCCAAGTGTCCTTGATAGCTTGACCTTCATCATATTCCTGAGGTAAAGCTCTGTATAGGGCCATGATATGAGGTAAAGTTTCATTTGAAATCATCTTGCTAATTGTACTTCTAAAACATGAAATGATACATGGCACCATACATAAAACCATTACTACTACCGTCAAGAAAAACAAGCAAGACAATAGTATCCCTTTGAGTCCCGCAACATTAGGTAACCAATTGGTGAGCCATCCCATATCCCATCCTTCCCATATTTGTACTGGGACATGTGCTATACTCTCCATCTTTGTGGCCAACACACGGATTGCCTCACCATGATCAGAAATGTTAAAGCAACAGGCATTCCCTGTCAAGTTCAAGACTCCACATAGGCCTCCCTGCCTGGCAAGTACATAATCCATTCCCATTTTCAGCTGCAAAATGGTGGCTCTACTTTCATCCAACTGTTGTGCAATAAGTCTCAAACTCTGGGCCGTTGCATTGGTTACAAGTTCCGCTACTGCTTGCAATCGAATTATTCTGTTTAGATTATAAATAGGATCCCGTGCCCCTTGTATGAGCTCATCAGGATTCCAGGAGGCAGGATCATAATAGGCTATAATGCGCTCTGGTGGCCAATCATCAGTATTGCTCCAACTTTGGGTACTTCCTCCTGCTATATGAGAAATATCAGCGTTTCTTCGTGTACGCTTGGCCGAACTAGTGGGCATAATCCACATTGGTGGTAATACCCATCCCAGGAAACAAGTCCAGCCACTCTGGGCTGCTTCCAACAAAATATTAAAATACAGTAATGCATCAAACATTAAAAGCTTCCCTAAACAGGGCTGCCTTCAGATGTCTTCTAAAAGTCTGGTAGTTGTCGTTCTATTTGACATCTGGTGGGAGGGCGTTCCACAGGGTGGGAGCCACTACTGAGAAGGCCCTCTGCCTGGTTCCCTGTAGCTTTGCTTCTCACAGTGAGGGAACCGCCAGAAGGCCCTCGGCGCTGGACCTCAGTGTCCAGGCAGAACGATGGGGGTGGAGACGCTCCTTCAGGTATACTGGACTGAGGCCATTTGAGACTTTAAAGGTCAGCACCAACACTTTGAATTGTGCTTGGAAACGTACTGGCCCTAATTAGGTCAGAGAGGCCATTTACCCCAAACCATGCCCACCTGCACCACACCTGACATAATATCGTATGTCAGGTGGGGAACAGGTGAAAGTGTGGCTGCAAAGGACCGTTTGGGAACTTAAAATGTAGCTCCACCCCACTGGGATGACAGCAATAAGGCGTTCCCCATCAGTGGCATCCTAGCGCAGTTTTATGACCAAGAAACCAAAATATTTACATTAAAAAAATAAAGTAAAATGGTATTTACAAGAAAACTATTGGACTTTACAGATTCCTCCTCCTCTTCCTAGAAATGTGAATGGGGTTCATCCCTACTACTGAGGAAGCCTTTCATAACATAATTTCATTGCTGCTTTAAGAGATTAACAAAAACTTTCTCTCTGAAAAAGCCCTTGATTAACTACATTGCATCCCATTAACATGTTTCTTTGAGGCACCAAAGGGATTTGTTGAAATGGCTACAACTGCCTTACTCCGTTTCATCTCCAGCCTTAGGCCTTGTTTGTTCAGATGATTGCTGCGTTGGTCCCAACGAATGCAAGAGAGAAAACAGAGATGTGGCTGCTTTTACTGGTGCAATTTTCTCACTGAGAAAGTGGGCTTGCTGAGCCTGCTCCAAGGCTGTAGCCAGAGTGGAGTGTATAGGTGCACCAATTCATATTGGCCACTGGTTGCCCACTATTATTATCATTTATTGTTTAGAGTGCTTTATCAACGCGCAGAAGAAGAGGAACAGGCCTTTAAGAAGCTCACAAATCTATATGTGTGTGTAGTTAAATGAATAATTTCATTTTGATACCAAGCCTTCTCCGTGGTGGCTCCATACTTGTGGAACTCCCTCCCAGGGGATAAACATCTGTGTTGGGAGTAAAGCAACAATGCTTGCAATAAGTTACCCTGCACCTGGGGCGATAGACAGAAAGGCAATCTCCCCTTCCTGATTCCTTCTTGAGTAACTTTCTGTAGGATCTTCTCTTTCAGGCTTGTTTCTTTCCGAAGTCAGCTAGTGTTAAAAAAGGTAAAGGTAAAGGACCCCTGACAGTTAAGTCCAGTCGCAAACGACTCTGGGGTTGCGGCGCTCATCTCGCTTTACTGGCCGAGGGAGGTGACATTTGTCTGCAGACAGTTTTTCCGGGCCATGTGGCCAGCATGACTAAGCCGCTTCTGGCGAAACCAGAGAAGCGCATGGAAATGCCGTCTACCTTCCCGCCGGAGCGGTACCTATTTATCTACTTGCACTTTGACGTGCTTTCGAACTGCTAGGTTGGCAGGAGCTGGGACCGAGCAATGGGAGCTCACCCAGTCGCGGGGATTCGAACCACCGACCTTCTGATCGGCAAGCCCTAGGCTCAGTGGTTTAGACCACAGCGCCACCTGCGTCCCAGCTTGGTCTAGTAGACCCAATTTTAGTTGCACCACTAAAACTGATCAATTTCTTTGTTGTACATATTTCAACAATCCCAATTTTTGAAAGTCAGTAGCCCGGACATTGTAAAGGTATGGTGATCTGTAGTGGAACAACCCCACTGAAGAAGCCCAGACCTCAGTACTGGTTGCCAAGGGGCCCCCAGGACAGTTCATGTTTCAGGGCCCCCAAAATACACGTCCACCACTCGGCCTTGCCTGCCCCAGCATGTGGGGCCCTGGAAAGCTGCCCATGAGAGAACCCTTGGGCGGATTATATGGGATGACTTCAGGTGCAGTTGTTGCCACTATCAAAGCCTCCCTCCTGCACAAAAATGCCTTGAGGGTTCAGCAGTCCAGTCTTTCCTGAATATGGAGACTCTAATGGGAAGAAAACAGCATCTGTGGGGTTTCGCTGTGGATGTCCAGGCCTTTGATTATCAGCTGACTGCACAGTCGCCTCCTGATTTTGATCATCGGATTCCAAGCTTTGATACACCAGGACATCTAGAGAATTGTCCTTAAAAAAATAAAATAAATGGAAGTATTTGCTTCTCCCAAATCACATTCAGTACTCGAAAGCTAGGCTCAGTGTGCCTGCCAATGCCTCCAGTTTTTGGACGTCTTCTGCTTGATAATGCAAAGTTGGGAAGTCCTTGTTCCACTCACAAGAGGGCACTCCTAGGCAGGGACAGGATGTACCATCCTTTTTGTAGGCCCACCCAATGAAGCCACGAGACTTGCAGAAAGTATCACTCTTTCCACTTCACCTGTTTGTATAAAACTTGTGTGATAAACTATCCCAAGGTTTCCCTGGGCTTTTCCTTGGGGTTGCCACTTTTTGAAAAATGGAACAGCTTTTGTGTTTTTAAGAGCCTGAAACATGGATTCCCCCCCTCTGCTTTATATCCATGTCAGAAAATAGTTTAGAATTGCATGTCGAGCTGCTGCTAAAGCCACAAGGGGACTCCTCTATAGCATTTATTAATTTAATTTATCGTGTTTTATCATGTTTTTAATATTTTTTGGGAGCTGCCCAGAGTGGCTAGAGAAACCCAGCCAGATGGGTGGGGTATAAATAAATTACAGTGGTGCCCCGCAAGACGAATGCCTCGCAAGACGGAAAACCCGCTAGACGAAAGGGTTTTCCGTTTTTGAGTTGCTTCGCAGGACGAATTTCCCTATGGGCTTGCTTCGCAAGACGAAAATGTCTTGCAAGTCTTGAGAGTTTTTTCGCTTTCGCCCCTTTATCTAATCTGCTAAGCCTTTAATAGCCTTTAATAGCCTTTTAGCAGCTAATCCGCTAAGCCTTTAAGCCTTTAATAGCCGCTAAACCGCTAATAGCGCTAATCCGTTAAGCCGCTAACAGGGTTGCTTCGCAAGACGAAAAAACTGCTAGACGAAGACTCTCGCGGAACGGATTAATTTCGTCTTGCAAGGCACCACTGTATTATGATTATGATTATTACAAGAGCCACCAAGAGGAATTTCAATACAGAGTGAAAACTTAAAAGAAAAAGTGCATTTAAAGAACCCAGAGCAAGGCCAGTGCTGCAATCCTACAAACACTCGCTTGGAAGTAAGCCCCACTGAACTAAGTGTAACTTGTTTCAGAGTAGATATAATAGGATTGCCTGGTCTTCGGCTGGGGCATCAGGGTCACAGCCTGCTCCAAGGTGAGTTACAATCACAGTGCTACCATCTTAGAAATATATCGCAAAAAAAGGAGAAGGTTTGGGTAACCAAATGTGTGCTCTGCTTGAAGATGGATTCCTGGTCTGAAAAGCTTGAAAACTGCAGCATAAACCATTTAAATCAGCTGTGGGGTGCAAAGTTCAAACAACCAAAAAGCCTGGGGCAAATAGAGATGGTCTGATACTTTGCCAAAAGGGATGGGAAATCAACTGAGCTCCCCAGGAAAAGACATCCCTTGGATTGAACTTGATATATACAAGTTGTTCAGTTGTTGCTGTTCTGACAAGTAAAGGTTCATCTTCAAGTCTTGTGTAAGGAGTCAACTTTATCACTAAGGTTTGAGGGTGAAACCGCTACATCACTCTGAATGAACAGAAAAACAAATAGCAAATCTCAGCTCTGGCTTCACTTGTGGGCTAAGAACACTGAAAGCCAGCTGCAGCCATCCTGGCCCATCTAATTCCATGTTTCCGTACTTTCTTCCTAGGAGGTTGATTGGCTCCTCAGCCCCACAAAGGAAGGCGAGACACCCATGGATAATCCAGCCTTGCTTGTAACAATGCTACTTGTATTTCTTTCTGTCTGTTTTGTAATATTGTAAGATGCCTCCCGTGCTCCTCTGCTGGATGGGGAAGGTGGTCTCAAAGCCTTGTAACAAAAATTATGCTGCTTTTAAATCTAAATAACTACATGTGTTTTCAAGGTTTGGGGTTCTTTCGCTCCCTTTTTTTTCCTTTCAAAAAAGAAAGACTTGCAAAAAGAAAGAAAAAGAAAGAAAGAAAGAAAGAAAGAAAGAAAGAAAGACAGACAGACTTGCATTCTCATAAGATTTTTCTACCTTACCAAGGATGCAGACCTGAACCTTTTAAGACACAATCCTTTTAGGCATCTTTAAAAAAAAAATAAAAAAATTATACAGAAAGCCAGGCTTTTGATTACCAGATTCTTTCCATCTTTCCAGACTCTGATGCCGCAATGTTCCCCTTTGTTATGTACCCATAAAGCAGTGCCTCACATTATCCACTAAGGGGCTGTAATTTAAGCAAAGAGGACTTCATTATAGCCAAAATGAAGGAAGGTCATTTTCTCTCCCTTTCTGGCTCACATTTGGTTTTTCTCCCTGCTTATCACTCTTGCCAGTTGCATGAGAGCAGGTGGGAGGAAACTTTAGTCCTCCTGATGTTGCCAAACTCCAGGTCCCTTCAGTACCAGCAAGCATGGCCAATGGCCAGGGGCTCTGGGAACTGTTGTTCAGGAATGTTTGGAAGGCCAAAGAATCCTTTACAGCAGCATTCTCCAACCATAGCTGTCAATTTACAGATTTGAAAATAAGGGACCAGCAGCCTTGAAAATAAGGGATCGGCAACCAAAATAAGGCTGAAATACGAAGCTAAAAGGGACCAGATAATTTGGGAGAGCAGCTCCGGTTTTTAGCCCTTCGTTTCCAGAGGCTGCTGCTCAAGACACCAGCTGATGAAACACTGCAATTAAATAACTACAAGCAGCAACCACTTTTCGCGCAAAACGAAGTCCAAGCTAGGAAGATGCTGCTGCAGTTCTGTATCTTTTCTCTCGTGCGCCATCTGCAACTCTCAGTTCCATCAGGCAGGGCGGGAGGAAGGGGGGGGGAATAGCACCCAAAGTAAACCCACAGATCACACCATCTATGCTAGTCTACCACTACAAATCTATGGGAGAAGTGCTTGCGGTCCTTCCTCTGCTTTCCCCCTCTATGGTTAGCCCATGGAACACCTGCCCGCGCCTCTGCCTCCTCCTCCTCTCTCTGAACTGCTTTCTCTATGGTTGCCCTCGCTCTCCTCTCAAGGCTCCTCAGCAATTCATAGGCCGCACCAGGCTGCCCATCTCATCTGGGTCCTTCGGCTGCGCAGCCGCAGTACAGCCTAGAGGGAGCAGGAGCGGCGGTGACGGGCAGAGGGGAGGCCCCAGGCAGAGACGCTCAGTTCAGCAGCGGCCACAAGGAGGATGGTGGTGGAAGGGCCCGAGGGGCTCCCGGGGGCCGAGGCTGGTGAGAGGAAGCTGGAGGGGGGCGGGCCGGGCAGCCAAGCAACACAGTTGGAGCCTCCCTCCTCCCTAGCCGGCAGGGAGGGAGGGAGAGGAGCTGCTTCCTTTGAAACCCGGGAAATTTAAGGGACATCATCAATAAGGGACAGCAGCAGGACACAGTGCTTGGATAAGGGAGTTTCCCGCCAAATAAGGGACGGTTGACAGCTATGTCTCCAACCTGGTGCCCTCCAAATGTTGTTGGACTCCAGCTCCCATCAGCCCTGACCAACGTGCCAACAGCTGATGGAAGACACGAGGTTAGGAAGGACAGCTTTAGAACTCCTAACAGAGGCAGAGCCATGTTGCAAGAGACTACTGCTGGCCTCCAGTAGCTGCCGATATGTTATCTGGCCACATTCAAGGGATGTGTTCTAATTTTGAAGGCCCTTCAGATCTTGGGTCGAGGATACCTTAAGGGCCACCTATCACTGAGATCGTTAGAGGAGTCTCTGGGTATGGTCCCCTGTGGCTCAAATGCACCAGAAGCTGTGCATATTCAGGATGGTGGGCCTAACTCTGTGGAACGCCCTCCTAGCTAAGATTAGACAGGCCCCTCTCCCTGTTGAACCTCAGGTGCACGACAAAGACCTTTCTATCTCCACAGTTATTTTAAGGAAGTTTCCCTGTTTTTGCGATTAATTTTAATTGACTGTACTTGTGCTATTTTATATCTACTGCTCACATACAAACTGAAAAGTGTGTGCTTTTCCATTTGTATGTGAGCAGTATATAAAGGTAAAGGGACCCCTGACCATTAGGTCCAGTCGTGAACGACTCTGGGGTTGCGGCACTCATCTCGCTTTACAGGCCGAGGGAGCCAGCGTTCGTCCGCAGAAAGTTTTTCTGGGTCATGTGGCCAGCATGACTAAGCCGCTTCTGGCAAAACTAGAGCAGTACACAGAAACGCCGTTTACTTTCCCACCGGAGTGGTACCTATTTATCTACTTGCACTTTGATGTGCTTTCGAACTGCTAGGTTGGTAGGAACAGGGACCGAGCAACGGGAGCTCACCCCGTTGTGGGGATTCGAACCACTGACCTTCCGATCAGCAAGCTCTAGGCACAGTGGTTTAGACCACAGCGCCACCCGCGTCAGTCGGGGAAGCTTAATCCACCAATGCATCTCTGTGCCAGGAAAAGGCAGAGAAGTACAGGCTAATGGCAGAAACAAATATGTGTCTGCCTGTTTTAAGCAGCACAATGGAAAACGTCACACAGATAATTCATGTCATATTTGAAATTTGAAAAGCCAGGCCTTTGGGGACTTTAAATCCTCGGATTGGCCAGATTGCATGTAAGACCAGGATGATCTCAGTGCCATTCTGATGCCGAAAGGATCCCGTGTGGGCTACCCAAAATAGAAGGATCATGTGAAGAATCCTATTTAAGGAGTTCTTCACATCATCTTCCTGTTATAGCTATCCTGCCAAGAATGGTGTGGGTTAATCAGGGGACATGAATGCAGAATCACAGGCATGGACAACCTTTGGCCCTCCAGGTGTTACTGGACTCCGACTCCCATCACCCTCAGCTAATGGCTAGAGATTTATGGGAGTTGGAGTCATAGAATCATAGAATTGTAGAGTTGTCCAACCCAACAACAAATGGGAGGGCCAGAGGTTGTCCACCCTGCAGGATCAACATTTTAAAAAATACACTAACAGTACAATCCTAGATTCAGGTAGGTAGCCATGTTGGTCTGACTGTGGGAATGATCGCTGGGTTGTGGAGCACTCTCCCTCCCGTGGGCAGCCTCACCTGTCTGCA